TGTAACTCTGCCTCTCAAATAAATAAAACAATCTTTTAAAGAAAAAAAAAAAGAGAAATCAAGCCTAATGAAACTTTTTAAAAATTAGATTAATTATTTTAAAGTCAGTGCTACATCAATCCATCTTCCATTCACTGGTTCACTCCACAAATGGCTGCAAAGGCAGGGAGCTGTACCCAGACAGAGCCAGGACCGCCAGGAGTTTCCTCCCGGTCTCCCACGTGGGTGAGGAGCCCAAGGACTTGGGTCATCCTCTGCTGTTTTCCTAGACCATTAGCAGAGAAGTGGAGCAGCTGAGACTTGAACCAGTGCCCATATGGATTCCTGCCTCTGCTACTGGCGGCTTAACATACTGTACCACAACGCCAGTCGCTATAACGACCTTTTAAAAAGGAAATTAAGGGCCGGGAGCGGTGGCACAGTGGTTAAAGTCCTGGCCTTGCACACCCGGGATCCCATATGGGCACCGGTTCTATCCCGGCAGCCCCGCTTCCCTTCCAGCTCCCTGCTTGTGGCCTGGGAAAGCAGTCGAGGACGGCCCAAAGCTTTGGGACCCTGCACCCGCGTGGGAGACCCGGAAGAGGCTCCTGGCTTCGGATCGGCATAGTATCGGCCCGTTGTGCTCACTTGGGGAGTGAATCATCGGATGGAAGATCTTCCTCTCTGTCTCTCCTCTCTGTATATCCACCTTTCCAATGAAAAAATAATAAAAAATAAATCTTAAAAAAAAAAAAGGGAAATTAAAACCAACCTCTTTTCTTCAACTTGAAACTACAGTTTCGCCATACGGAAGCTTAGAAAAGAATTTGACTAACTTGAGCTGTAAAAGCACTAATGGAACAATTACTTTTGAGTTGTATAATCATTTACAAGAGTAAGCTCTGATAATGAAACAGTATACATCAGCCACTCTGTAAGTCTTAGTTTTAACCATAAATCTTATAAACAGAGGAGTACATTCGCTTAAGAGCTGATACGGAGCTGCTATGTGGGTTAAGCCTCCAACTGCAGCTCCTAGCTTCCCCTACAAGTACGGGTTCGTGTCCTGGCTGCTTTACTTCTGATCCAACTCTCTGCCAATGTCAGGAAAAACCAAAACAACAATTCTAAAAAAAATTAATTTTTAAAAAAGAACCAGCACCCACATGAGATCCCAGTGCATTCAAGGCAAGGACTTCAACCACTACGCTATGATGACGGGCCCTAAAAATGTTAATTTAAATTAAAAGTAAAATTCTGGGCCCAGCACAATAGCCTAGTCGCTGAATCCCTGTCTTGCATGCACCAGCATCCCATATGGGCATCTAATCGAGTCCCGGCTGCTGCATTTCCCTTCCAGCTCCCTGCCTGTGGCCTGGGAAACCAGTCCAGGATGGCCCAAAGCCTTGGGACCCTGCACCTGCACAGGAGATCCAGAAGAAGCTCCAGGTTCCTAGCTTCGGATAGGCGCAGCTCCGGCTGCTGCAGCCAACTGGGGAGTGAATCAGTGGACAGAAATATTTCTCTCTCTCCTTCTCTCTGTATATCTGATTTTCCGATAAAAATAAATCAGTCTTTAAAAAGAGGGAAAAAAGTACCCATGAGTTTCATTTTGTTTTTCAACAACAAAATCTTTCAATCCCATTTTACCCATGAACTTTCTGTAGTATCTTTGCCTGTGTTCGCTTAATATTAAAATTCCTTTCTATTTTTAAGTATTATCCTGTAAAAGAAACTGAATAAAATTAAGAGATGAAAGCCAAATAAGAACTGAAAACGACTCACAAGCCAATGAACATTTGATTACAAGCAGGCACTGTGGCACTGTGGCACAGTGGGTTACATCAACACCTACAATGCCTGCATCCCATAAGAACACAGGTTCAAGTCCTAGCTGCTCCACTTCCAAACCTGCTCACCGCTGACATTCCTGGGAAGGCAGAGGTGTACGGCCCAAACACCTGAACCCCTGCCACCCATGTTTTAACCTGTTTTATGGAGTTCTTACTTCCTGGCTGGACCTGGCCTATCCCTAAGTCACTGTGGCCATTTGGGGAACAAACTAACAAATGAAGATCTCTAACTCCTCAAAAGAAAAAAAAAAACAAATCTTTAAAAAAAAATTAAGCACTATGGTGTCAGTCAGTGGCATACCATCATAGCCCTCCATCTGTGGCACTGGCCTATGGACGCCAGCTCCTGTTCCAGCTGCTCCACCTTCAATCCAGTTACCTGCTTGCGGCCTGGGAAAGTGGCAGAGGATGGCTTATGTCCTTGGGACCCAGCACCCACACGGAAACCAGTAAGAAGCCCCTGGCTTCAGACTGGCTTAGCTCTGGCTATTGCAGCAATTTGGGAAATGAACCAGTGAATGGAAGGCCCCTCTCTGTAAAATCTGCCTTTCAAATAAAAATGAACTTTTAAAGAATATATATATATACACATATATATATACACAAACGCTTAAAACTGCTAAACAAGTTGAAACTTGAAGAAAAGTAGTATTTTTTAATTTTTCCTGAAGCTTAATCTAAGTAAGAGTTTTAAGGCTCTGAGATCAGTTAAGTCCTGCTACACACACAAAATTCAAAAATCCTCATCACATGCAGGTAAGAGGATTAGGCACTACAAAAATGTGTTTTGCTATGTAGATACCCAATTCAATGTTTTAATTAAAAATAATCTTTTACAAAATACTCAACTTATTATACTTGCACAGTTTTCATAAATACAAAAAAAGTGGGTTTTTATGCCAACAAATTTTAAAACTCACTTTTAAAGTAAATACTGGGGGGCAAAATATCGCCAGGGCACTACTAATAATTTCTGTACTTGTTAATTTCATTCTTAAAATATGCCGAATCAGAACTGCTGTCAAACAGACCAAAGAGCAAACAACTGTTACCACAAGAAAACGGAACGCACCTTTTCAACACTGCTCATTTCAAGCGCAGTTCCCAATAATCCTAAACAAAGCTGACACTGGTGCAGGTGCTGATCAACTAACCCTAAACTGAACAATACTTTGACAACAAAGTGTTAATGCAAAAGAAACACTTTTGCCCTGTAAATACAAACCACTCAGGAAGGAGCAGCTTCCCCTGGAAGCAAGCAGGAGAAATAGAACATTTAGAAGCAACAATCACACGCACTTTTTCCTAACCCTGGTGCATCCCACTCTGACAATGTTAACATCATCTAAAATTAAAAACAAATAATAATAATTAAAAAAAAAAGAATGAGCAGTTTAAATGCAAATTCATACAATATGAAAGGAACTGAGTTTAACAGCACTCCAGGCTCCCCCAGTCTTCCAATTGGAAAAGTTTAACCAGAAACACACTACAGCAGCAACGACAAGGGGGCTACTCGGCAAATGACTGAACACGCACTGGTGCTTAGTGGCTGACAGTTCCCTTAAACCAAGAGAGACCCCACAGATTCCGACGAACACACGTGCACAGAACCACTAGTTAATGTATTTTTGAAAAATCTCTTTAAAAAACAAAGAACACAAAGTCTATACTGGAAACACCGAGTTGTCACGCGACTTGTGCGGGAATTTATCTCAATAACCGGTGAGAACAACGCATCTCTCTGTGGCTCAGAAGTATTAAAAGATGCGGTTAAGTTCAAGTCACAAATTTTAATTTCAGCAGTCACTAGACTGTGACCTCCCTCAAATATGTGATTCCTCTTTTGCAGATGTGAAAAAACCAGGCTGAAATAAAATGGGGTGATTCACTCGCCCAATTTTAAATGTAGGAAATAATCGGTGAATTCGCGTGAACTACTCTCTGTTCACACAAGCAAACAGACACCTGGCATGCCCTTATTTTCTCAAACCAAAAAGTTGTATATAGTCTGAAGCCATTACAAGGACCGATACAAAAAAAAAAAAAAATCACCTATCCCCAGGGGAGAAAAGGAAGAAAAACAAATCCAACACAAGAAGTACTTTTAGAACCAGTCAGCAAAGACCTTCGCTACAAACCCTCACGTCTCTCATTAATCCCTGCACGCGCCCAAAGAAGTTACTCTACTCCCTGCCTCCGTCAGATTCATACTTTGCACAGATTACCTGCTCCGCGATAGGGCACTATCAAGACAGACATGCCAGAGTCGCCAAGTGCCAAGAAAAGGAAAAAAAAAAAAAAAAGAAAGTGTGCCACAAAGGAGAAAGTCCATGACAGCCCCAGTCCCCCAAAAGTCTGCTCTGGCCACGGGGTGGGGTAGGATGGGGGGGTGCAAGGATCTCCCCTAACCCAGTCCCGATCCAACCCACAGACCAGGACGAGCGCTACAGACTGACGCCCGCAGCCTCGGGAGTTGTCAGAGCAGGGTTTCAGCGGAGTGACTTCTTCAACATTAAACAATAATCCTAATACATTTCGGGGGGGAAAGGGGAGATTGGGAAGGGAGGAAGTTGGTTGCAAGATTGAGAGGCAGGCGAGGCCAATGTCCGGCACTTGGAGGACGGCACTGCAGCGGCAGGCAAGCATTTGAACAGAGCCTTGGGGGGTTGGGGGGGAACCGCTCAGAGTTCTTCCACGACCTGACCCCGGGTCTCCACACACACCACATCGCCCGATAACGTGGCTCGAGAGAAGACACGCGGGGGTGGGGCCCGCACCGCTAAATGCCTGGGCGTCCGGAATGCGCTCTCCAAGACAGATCGCAGCCAGAAGGGGGAAAAAAAAAAAAAGTCAATGGGTTCCAGGAGGCCCGCACCCGCCGGGCAGCAAGGCCACCTCACGGAAGGCCGCCGGGGCCGCGCGCCGCTGCTCCCGGGCTGCGGCCTCGGGGGGTCAAGCCCCCAGCAAGTCGGGGGAGCGACCCCGGGGGGCTCGGGGCCCCAGCCTCGGTGGTCTCTGCTCACCCCCAACACACACACACACACACACACACCCCACAGCCCCACAGCGGACCCCTGGGACTGACAGCAAGCTCCCGGCCGTGCGCTCGCGGCAGCGCCAGGGCCCGAGCAGCGAGACGCTCCCAGCGCCGCGAGTGACACTCACCGGCCCGAAACCTCGAAGGAAAGCAGCAGCTTCGGGGGCGGCGGCGGCAGTGGCAGCAGGAACCGAACATCCAAAATGGCGGCTCCCTCGGCCTCACCACCGCTCCCGCAGGCGGAGGGATCCTCGGGAGGAAGGGAGTTTTTTTAACAAACTTCCCACGCTCTCGCACAACACTTAGGTCCCTCGCCCCCTTTCCCGGCCGATCCCGCGTCCCCTGACGGCAACTTCTCGGGGCCTCCCTACTCGGATGACCCAAGAACTCGGACCCCGCCGAGGACTATTTGCCAAGGAGGAGGCGACTGCGCCGGGCAGAGCGACGCAGAGCGTAGCAGGAGTCGGGGCTGTCACTGATGACGCGAGACGCTGCTGCCGAGTCACCGCTGCGATGGGTGTGAGCGAGAAAGAGCCGGCCGACCCCGCTCCTGGCGGACATTGGTTCCGCTTCCTTGGGGAGGGGCGGGGGATAGGCTACCAGGAAGCGTGAGGCCACCTGAAGAGGGTGGGGCTAGGGAAAGCAGCCGAGGCAGGTGGAGCCGAAGCTCTTCCCTGTCACCCTTGACACTTTGCCTAGCCTTTAGAAACATGCGTCAAGTGGTCTTGGGAGCTATGGTTTTATGGTAACTGTGCAACAAAATGTGAAACGAGTTCGAGGTTGACACAGGAAAGATTCCACAGTATTGCCCTTGGCTTGTGCGTTGCATAAGTCGCTTGTGTAGTCTCCAGGACGTGTTTGCACGTATGTTAAAAAAAAAAGAGGGGGGGGAGGGGAAATATTTGGACTAATGGTCGTTAAAAGTCCTTCCAGAACGATCTTTCCTGAGCCAAACAAAACCCACGAGTAGTGGCCTGAGAAATAATTATTACCATTGGAAATGAATCTTTTCCATAGACATGGACATAGTGCCCTGATATCTTGGTCCATTTTAAGGATAGATGACCTACCTTGGCCAGCAAGCTAAATCCTGCCTCGGCACATCCCTGCCATGTGCCAGCACCTTCCATCCAGCCGTCCTGCTAACACATCCTGGGAGGCCGCACGGAGATGGTGGCTCTAGTGTTTGGGGCTCCTGACACCTGCTTGAAAGACTCAGGTGCATTCCTGGCACCAGGCTGTTACTTACCCAATCCCTGACCTTGGCTTTCCATAGCCCTGGCTGTTGCTGGTATTTGGAGAGTAAATCAGCTAATAGGAGATCTCTCTCACTCTCTCTGCCTCTCTTCCTCCCTCCCTACCTGCCATTGCCTGTCAAGTACATAAAAATAAAATACGGTTTTTAAAATCCCCTGGATAGGAGTCAGCATTGTGGCTAAGCTGTTGCCTGAGCTGATTAGAGTGCTGGTTGCCCAGCTTCCAAACCAGATCAGAGGATGGTACCAGTGCTGGGCCCCTCTACCCACATGGGAGATATGGCTCTTGGCTCCTGGTCTCAGCCTGGCCCAGCCTGGTCACCGATCTATTCAAAGGACTTTAAAAAAAAAAAACTTATTCATTTGAAAGAGTTATTGGAAAAAAGATAAATCTTTCATCTGTTGGTTCACTCTTCAAAGAACTCCCAAAAGTGAATAAAACACTAATCACTTCACCAAGCAAGATGCCAGAAAAAAGGAACTAACCACAAATTTTTACTTTGGTAATTAGGAGCCAGGGACTGGGAGCTGGAACTGTGCTATAGTGGGTAAAGCCTCCACCTGCAAAACCAGAATCCATAGGGCACCAGTTCAAGTCTTGCATGCTCCACTTCCACTCCACATCAGCTCCTTGCCAGTGTACCTGGGAAAGCAGTAAAAGAAGAATCAAGTGCTCAGGTCCGTGCACCCACATGAGAAACTGAAAGAAGCTCCTGGTTCCTGGCTTCAGACTGTCCCAGCTTCAACTGTTGAGGCCATCTGGGGAGTGGGCCAGAGAATGTAAGACCTTTATGTCTCTCCCTCTCCTGTGTAACTGTGCCTTTAGAATAAATAAATAAATCTTTAAATAAAAGTGAGAGGCAGGGCCTCGTGCCATGGCTTGATTGCTAATCCTCGCCCCTTGAAGTGGGGATCTCACATGGGTATCATTTGATATCCTGGCTGCTCAGATTCCCATCCAGCTCCCTGCTTGTAGCCTGGGAAAGCAGTCGAGGACGGCCCAAAGCCTTGGGACCCTGCACCCGCGTGGAAAACCCAGAAGAGGCTTCTAGCTCCTGGCTTCAGCTCAGCTCAGCTCCGAACATTGCAGACACTTGGGGAGTGAGCCAACAGATGAAAGATCTTTCTCTCAATCTCTCCTCTCCATAAATCTGATCTGCTTTCCAATAAAAATAAGTAAGGGACAGAAAGTTGAACCTTTCACCTTGACTGTCACTTTTGGAGCTAGCATTGTATCTTAGCAGGATAAGATGCTACCTGCAGTGCCAACATCTCATATGACCACCAGTTCAAACTGGTTCAAATCCCCACTACTCCACTTCTCAGCCAGCGCTCTTTTAATGTACCTGGAAAAACAGCAGCAGATGTCCCACATGCTTGGGCCCCTGTACCCATGTGGGAAACCCAGAAGAAACTCCTTGCTCCTGGCTTTGGCCTGGCCCAGCCTCTGTTATTGCAGCCATTTAGAAAGTGAACCAGCAAATGGAAGATGTCTTTTTATACATACATTTCAAATAAATAAATAGATGTCTTCAAAAAAATAATAATCTGTCACTTTAATGCATGGCTGTCAAAACACTTTATAAAAACCAAAGTAGGTAGACTAGCATGTGCAATATTGTCCTTGAACTTGTAGAGGATGCCAGGTAACCGAAGGAAAGGAAGCTAAGGGTGTGATACTGATCACTACTACTGGACTGTTAAGTGTTGATATCATAAAGCACCTTCATGCGCATTATCTAATCTGACCTCTGGACAACCTCCTGAGTCAGATAGGCAAGTGCACGTAATTCAGTTTTACAAAGGCTGACAAACTGTGTGAAGCTCAAAGACCCGTCGGCACATCTCCTCCACTAGAGTCTGCTATAGGACACCATCTTAAAACTCAGAAATTGGTACCCAAGGCAGCACTACAGCGTGCTAAGCTACTGCTTGTGATATTGGCGTCCCGTGTAGAAATGTTAGCTCACGGTCTAGCTGCTCTGCTTCCCGTCCAACCTTCTGCTAATGCTCCTGGGAAGGCAGTGGAAGAAAATAGCTCAAGTGCTTGAACCATGACACCCGTGTGGGAGAACAGGAAGGAGTTCCTGGCTACAACCTAGCTGTTGTGACTGTTTGAGGAGTAAAACATGAAATATTCTTTCCTCTCTCCTACTTTCCCCTTTCTTTTGCTGCTCTCCTCTCCCTTCTCTTCCTCCTGTGCTCACCTACCCTCTGTTTTCTCTCTTTTCTTCTCTCCTTCCTCTCTGTCTGCCTGTCTCTGTCTGTCTGTCTGTCTCTCTCTCCCTCTCTCTCACTCTACCTTTCAAAGAAGCAACTCTTTGCAGCTGCGGCTGCACCTCCCTCCCCAGCCCCACTGGGCTGGGGGATGTGGCTGGAAGACTTAGGCTAACCTGAATAAACCATCTTTATGCCTTAAAAAAAGAAGAAGAAGAAGAAAGAAAGAACTCTTTTATCAAAAATGGCATCTATTACTACCCTATCATCCCAAACATACTCAAGGAGAAACCAATCCAGACAAAATGATTTGAAGAACAGAAGGCGTACAGAATCCAGTCACTTCTCACCTCTGTACTCCTGTGCAGTGCCGTCCTGTAAGAAATGGCTACTAAATAGTAGTGGGCACTGGGGCACTGTGGTTTAAGCCACCCTTGGGATTTGCCCATCCCAGAGTGGAGTGCCTTAGATATAATTTCCACTCCTCTTCTGACCCAGCTTCCTGCCGAGACACATCATGAGGATCCGCAAATGATGCTTCATGTACTTTGAATCCCATGGGACATCTGGATGGAGTTCCTGGTTCCTTTGGACTGCTAGAGGACCAAACCAAAGGAAGGAAGATATCCTCCTCTCTGTGTGCCACTCTGCCTTTCAAAAAAATAAATATTACAAATAAGCATTATGAAACAAGCATATCAAATTAGAACATCACAATAAGGCCAGGATACAGAGTTCCCCTATGTGTGGCTGTGCCTACGGTACATACCGCATTCGTTAGAGATTTCCAAAGGAGTAGGAGGCTTGCAGGTCGTAAAGCTGAGTTAGCACAGGTACTCCATCCGGAATGTCACAAAACTGTTCCGAAGTCAAATCTGAGTGTTTACAAATGCAAGTTACAAAATAAAGTTAAGTTGTCTCCTTAAAGAGGAGAAAAGAGACTTTTTTTTAATATATCAATCCAATTGGCAGAAAAGGAAAAGAAAATCATCAAACATAAACCCCTCTCTTTTTTTATTTTTACTTTTCTTTTGTATAATTATCAAACACTATATGAAAGTCATTATCCTGGGATCTTTGGTGTCTTTGGGTAGTAATTAATCCCTAATTCCAGATAAATAAGTTATAATGTATCCATAAAAAGGAATAATATGCTGCCAATTAAAATGAAACTTTGTAGTATACCACCAAGGCAAGTTTTAAAAACAATATTAGAGGGCTCAGTGCAATGGGTCAATGGCTAAATCCACACTTTGCAAGTTCTGGGATCCCATTTGGGTGCCAGTTTGTGTCCTGGTTGTTCCACTGCCCATCCCCTCCCTCCCAGCAGTAGAAGATGGCCCAAAGCCTTGGGACCCTGTACCCTCATGGGAGACCCAGAGGAAGCTCTTGGTTCCTGGCTTTGGGATCGGCTCACTCCAGCTGTTGTAGCCATTTGGGATGTGAACCAGCACATGGAAGCTCTTTCTGTCTCTCCCTTGCTCCTTAAATCTGGTGTGCCTTTCCAATAAAAAAATAAATGATAAATCTTGGAGCACAACCTCGCAACGCGGTGAGTCCTGTGTGAGATGCTGGGTTAATTCTTGCCCCACAGGGACAATGGGCACCCAGAAGGACGTTCAACCCGCCAAGCAGCAGCCGACGATTTTTATTTGTGGAGAATGTCACATGGAAAATGAGATAAACTTCAGGGATTTAATCAGATGCAGGGAGTGTAGATATAAAATCATGCACAAGAAGAGGACAAAGGGATTGGTGGTTTTGGATAAAGCATGACATTTGAAAGGAATGTCCTCATTTGTACTTGGGTTTGTTGTACATGTCTCTCCTTATTGTATAGCTTTTGATGTAGCATACTTAACTTTTTGAATCGCATATGATTTTTTTTTTTACTTACACATGATTTCCCTTTAAAAACTATATTATATTTTACCTCCCCCTTCACCCCAGATACAGGAAAAAAAATGTGGAAATG